AATGTACATGTACATGTAATTACAGCAATAACTGAGTAACAATGATGCTAACCGATGTCACCTTATCCTTTGAAGTTTTAAACAACCAGCCATCCGTATAAGAAACGTTAAAACTCAATGTTTCCAGGTACCGTTCACCATAGCCCAAACCTACAATCATTTCTTTCACGCAAACTGCACAAAATTGCGATTATTTTCCCCAGCACATATGATACCAGTGATACTATAAAATTGTCGAAGCCCTGAGGAACTTTAAACGTAATGCTCACTTGAACAGCCATCTACCTCTCCTTGGCTGAGTGTTGCTTAAATGGGAGCTGATCACTGATCAGCGACTCTTATCAAGATCAAACTAAAGAGCGTTACCAACTGAAGAGTTTGGAGGTCAGAAAGTAAAATATGAGTGATGTTCCGTGACTGAGAACACCACGATACAGCGCACTAATTTAAGCCTCATGGGAAACAAAATATGGAAACCGTCATGGCTTCTTAATTAAACAAAAAATAGAAACCGTCATGGCTTCTTAATTAAACAAAAATTCAATTATTTCCATGCCCCGAATCTATCAATTCCTTTTCAATTTTGGTAGGCTAGCCAATAACATTAAATTATTCACATAAAACTAACTCAACCTCGAAGACTGATAGTTCCCATGCCTCAGTGCAAGCGGTTATTTTCAAAACGGCATCCCTCTACTATTTCTGGCTTAGGACCATTTTCCAGCCGCAATTTTATCAACTCTGCCCGAAAGCTATAAAAAAGAAACGGCGTAGCCACTTTTCATGCTTATTAAACTATTATTGTCTTTTCATTATTTTTTACGAATATATACACTGTAATGTCAATTATTTTACGAATGTAAACTTTACCGTCGATTATTTCCTAGTTTTACAATAGCTGTACAAAATACAAAACTGCACCTCTTCCGATCCAGGAAGCGTTTCACAAGCATTTCCAGTAGTATTCAAAACATATTCTTTCAATTGATTTTAGGAAAATATAGCAATTATAAACTTCGGCGAGTAAATGGACTTTAATTTACATTTAAAAAACTCTGAAATTTACAAAACTGTCAAATGACAATTTCAGATTATCGACAATATCCAAACAAATTGCTGCAAGGTAATATGAATGTTTAAGATAGTTCAACATCTTTGAAACCTTGAAAGAAACTGTACAAATGCATTCTATTTAGGCATATTGATAAAAAATGTTTTCATTGTTTTATCACATTGAGGGTATACTCAGAAGCAACCGGAAGAAACGTGCCCGGGCAGTTCGCACATTTAACGAGTGGAGAATTCTGAGAAATGAACTCGCAATACTGAATCCTGACTTGAACTTGAGTGCCATACGGCGTGAACTCCTCGAGATGACAACCGCTGAACTGTGTTACTCTCTCACCTGTTTCATCCAGAAAGTGAGTAAGGTCAACGGCGAGAAGTATCCAAGTGAAACGCTCTACGAGAAGGTGAGATGTACCCAGCTTTATGTTGCAATGCATGGCAAGGAATATCAGTTATTCAAGATGAGGAATTTTCGCCTTTGAGAAATACACTTGACAACAAGATGACAGAACAAGAATGGAAGATGAGAATAACATGTGGGAGAAGAAGATTCTTGGGAGTGATACACCACAACAGTAACTGAATATGCCTTTTTGCTTTGAGGGCTGGTGAAGAACATCGAAATCTGCGCTACACAAACTCACAGATTAGCCTTAAGACAACTACCCACGGGAAGGGCTTTCTCAGATACACTGGAGATGTGTCTAGGAGCTACCAACGTAAGGTGGACTGAAACATCGGAACATCACTCCCCAGAAAACCCCTTGCATCCGGACATGTTCAAGTTGTACGTCTCGCAGGGGGTATTTAGTAATTTCAAACACAGCATTTATGGTATTCAGGATACAAGGCATTTGTGAACGCCATTTTGAGCTGTCTTCGTCAGGTAAAAATGTGAGAAAAAAGTGTCGAGAAAAATTTCGCATAGTTTAAGGACTTTCATACCCTGGACGTTAGTCGAAATGTAATGTAGACGTCGTCCAACCTGGGCTACGTCTCTACGAGAAGTACATATAAGAAACAGACCATCATCAGGAAATAGCAGGTCGGCATTCTATCTTTGTCCTCTTGCAAAGCCAAATGGTGATAGTATGGTACAGAAATACCAGCTTATCCAAACTTTGCTACCCTTATGTGAAAAAAGCAGGATTGGTTTATTTCTCTAACCAGTCGTTTCGCGCTACGGTTGCATCGCGTTTGTACTTCAGAATTTCGACAAGCAGCTAATCTGTGAGACTACTGCATGGTCACCCCTCCAAGCCCCCGCTCTCTGGCTGCCAATCAGTTTGCTCATTTTTTACCTCACTTTTATTTGTACGGGTATTTCTCTTTTTATGTGTGTGATGAAAGTTCTGAAATAACTTTTTTTTCGTATCTGAATAATGACGTAAGCAAGCAGGCGCACCAACATTCCTCCTACTTAACCTTTCTGTGTTGTTTTGACACCACAAACCAAACTGTGCAATATCAACCCTGAAAGAAGGGCCGAGGAAAAGCAAAACATGAATTCTAAAATTAAGGGGACTCTCCGATCCATCCAGCCGATCAGCCATTCATATGACAGACTTTCCAGAGACAGTTGTACGGGAGCAAAAACTGGTCCCTGCGGTGGTACAGGAAAAATGATAACGCTGATGGTATCAATGCAGTGTATGAACCTTCCCAGGTAAATAAAAAAAAATCAGTTACTAAGAAAGTTCTTCATCTTATTATTTTCGTTTTAAAACCTGCTGTGTTTTGGTTGTCTTCACCTGTCTCTGTAGTGGCAGTGTACAGCAGGAACACCTTCGCTTTTCCGGGGGGATAATAAGCGTTATAATAATAATTATAATAATTTATTCATTTATAAAGCGCAAATTTCATACAAATATGTTCAAATGCGCTGTACAATGTTAAGCTTGGAACACTGAATACACTTAAACATGGTTGAGCCGATACAAGGGCGCCTCGGGCACCCGCCAAACGACCCATATTCACCAACATCATCAGTAAAGGGGAGACAGTAAGAAGCAGTTGCAGTTTAGAGGAAACCCCACAGAGGAATATTCTGGGTAAAACCCTCGGAGTCAGGTAGGGACTGGAAACGCAATCCACATGTGGACCGGGGCCGGGAATTGAACCCGGGACCACAGAGGTGGAAGGCAAGGGAAGAACTACCTTGCCAACCTGACTCCCCATGTACGACCGGAAGTTTGACCACGGGTTTAGGAAGTTGCCACCCAGCCTGCACGATATTATTACTCTCAGAATATTTCGTCGTCAGTCCTCCTTCAGTTGAGTCTTCCTCGTTGACTTCAAGTTTATCAGCACCACACTTTCATTGATATCAGTCCGTGCTTCTAAATAGAACAATGTAGACTCCATTATCATTGTGACTGTGTCTTTCCACTCTGTAGGCGACTTTGTCTTTGTTCCAGTAAATTTCGCAATTATAGAAGTTTCCCAGAACAGTGCATAAGACAGGCCAGAATCTCAACTACATAATACAATCAGTTCTATGTGGCTAGATTTTTTGTCCGATTTTCATTCGATATACGTCTGCGCAGCGCGATCTATACGTGTTTTATATGCACAAACCCGATCAAGCCACGTACCGTGTACGGTACACTGCGGCCTGTTACACGCGTATCTCGGCGTACATGTACATGTACATGCACATGAAAATTTTCGACGGAGCCGGTTTACATGTTCATGTGGTTCATGCGTGTATAGTACATGTCAAACTGAGGATATATACCGAGAATTTCAACATTTTCCCAGCAATTTTGTAATGACAGATAGACCAAGGTTTCACTAATAAACTTCATGTTAACTGACTGTACTTTTGTGTTCGTCTTTCATTCCCGAGTTTAATACTGAATTCGTACGCTTGCAAGGCCGCAAGATAGGCAGCATGGACGAGAAGAGAACAAAATCTAGCGCAAACCCGAGCAAATCTAAAACCTTCATACCTTTCTCCACCACAGCTCACTTTTGAAAACTTCAGGAAAGCTTCGAATTCTTTGTTTCGAGCCTTCAAAAATCGCATCAAAACGTAAACAAACTATCGCTTACGAAAAGAGATTTTCACAAAAATCACTAGTTTGACCACTCTGGTACTATTTCTCATTTTTATTTTCACAAAACACGTTTAGGCAAAGGCCTTATCTTACCATAATATGGTAAAATATTTTGGGCAGGAATTTAATTTCCAAAAAGTGAAAATAAGACGTACATTTCATGAAATGACGCAGCTGTTTGCCTGGCACGAATTCCCATGGCCCTCATTAAATGCAAAGGACCCTAAAATCGGGACATGCGCAGTTAATAGTTTCCCACTGAAACATACGAGAGCTCATTTTTGCACCATCAAGGACTGAACTGTTTTTCGCCATCTGTGGAGTCCAGCATTTTTCACTTTAGTGCCTGCCAAGCCCTCGCCCGTAAGAACATGCTGTTTCTATAAGATCTTTTCCCGATTCTTTATC